TGTCATTTTCTATCGAATAAAGTAAAAAAATACCGAGGGTGCTATCTAAAAATCAAAAGTTGTAGTCATTTCCGGTAAAATAGGAAGTGACCAAAAACAATTGAATACACCAATCAATCCTAATTTATGTCATATACTAACACACCAAATCTCATTTTTTTTTTATCTGAAAAACTAAAAAAGTTATTAGGGGTTATTGGGGTGTGCCACTTTTGAGACGCACCCGAGACGTATGTTGAGTTATACCTCAACATACATGTTGTAGGGGAGACAGGATATTTCTCATCCTTCTCTGACAACAAATATTCCTCCTCTCAGGGTATACACCCTTTCACGGTTGGGGTTTGGCCCTCTGTGCCCTTCATAATCGAGGAGCTTCTCTCCGGCTGAGGTACCCGTGAGGTGGAGGCTAGAGGATCTGTCTCTATTTTCTCTACCTCTAACTTGGTCTCTCCTTAGACCTAATACCGGGGTTGTTCCGAATTTATAATAGAGGATATATCCTTCTTTCTCTATTGTTTCCTTTACGCCATATAACCTCTATGACCTCTTATGACAAGTTTCGGAATATTTTCATATACTATATGTTAAACCCACAATTTAATGCTCTATAACTTTCGTTCTATTTTTTTATTTAGAATGACGTATTCCATGTGACGGAGGACTGAATGTTACTTTGCACTGCATTTTTCATCAAAGTGGGTAAATATCACCGTTCTTCGACTTTCGGTTTTAGCCATACTACAGAACCGAATTGAATGAATATGCATATACTCACTCGACAGACAATTTAATTCTCTTTAATTTACGTAATACTCAAGTATTCGCTAAAATGCAACGTTTCGGAACTATAGACGAAAATCTGAAAGAAAATCTAAGAATTTTACCATCTTTTGGGCCTCCTGAGTCGAGCGGCGGTCGAAGAACCATACAAACCTAGAAAACTTCTCTTTCGTGTCAAATGAACCGATCAAATCAATATAATTGGTTTTCTAACACTTTTTTCCAAGTGATCCCTCTAATAAATCTCATTTGACTGACCTAAATATTAATGTGGTAGGTTTGCGTCCTTATACCATATGATCGAAAAAAAAGAACGCCGTCAGCGATGGCTATGAAATGAAGATCGCTGTCATTTTATTGTAAGTTTATATGGGAGATGTCATCGATCTTCATTTCCAAGCCAACTGGACGCCGTTTTGTCTCGATGATATGGTATAATAATATATGAAATGGCATTAGCAAGTTTAGAACTAGGAAAAAAATTTTATTCAATAAATTGTAGACATTTAGATGTATATTCTCGCATTTTTTTGAGAGGAGGTTCTTTTGACAAGCGTAAACATTAGTAGTGGCGTTTCCTCACAGTATGGGTACAATTTCAAAAGCGGTACACATAATAGTAATAATAGTCTGTGTATACCATAGACAAGGCACAGAAAATAAACACTACACCAGAATAAAATATATACAGTTTCACTTATACAAAAATTAAAAGCATCTGTGTTCCCTTGAGAGATACCGCTATTTTAAATATCGAATTTTAATTTCTATATAAAACAGGATAACCAGACAGTAGTATCAACTAACTAGTGAGAAAGAAAATCTAGGAACTAGTAGGGTTGAAGTAGGAAGGGTTTAAAATAGAATTAATACACTTTGTTAATTGTAAAGCTTTCGGAGTTTATTCATTCCTTCCTCAGGACATCAACGTGGTACAAGAGACCTTCATAAAAAACTACATTAACAAAAAATTGGTAAGAGTTGTCGTTTGTCGGTTGCTTTGCGCCTTCACGCCTTAGATTGAGACGCAATTGAATTTTTAATCGAACATCTCTCAATTATTTCAATGTTTTAAATAAGATAGAGAGCCTTCTTATATGTGGTTGACTGGTCAGCGATGCTTCACGTAGAGTTTTCAATGCATCCCACAAGCCAATTTTTTGTTAATGTAGTTTTTTATGAAGGTCTCGTGTACCACGTTGATGTCCTGAGGAAGGAATGAATAAATTCCGAAAGCTTGATAATTAACAAAGTGTATTAATTCTATTTTAAACCCTTCCAAAAAGGATTACTGTATATATTTTTTATTCTTATTAAATAATTACGGCATAATAATCGGGTATATTCATCTTTTGATCATTTTGATTGGTCTATGTTGCTCTAATATAAAGAATGTCTTGTTTCTAAAACACTTTATATACTCTTTCTTATAGCCGACAAAAATGTGTCCTGATACTATCTTAATCATTCATGCATATGTGGGTGTGACGGAACTTCGGCAATGTTTAACCAGGGGAAATTAAAAGTTCTTAGAAAAGTTTTACAGAAAAATAATACTTGAAATCCATCATTAATGATTTTAAAGATCCCCAACATACTAAGGCAATGTTGCTTGAAGTTGGAAACTTATTTCTAATGGATCTATATAGTAAACAACTCCAAAGAAATCAGACTGCACTGAACGATTTAAGCTACAGACAATCTTCGTCCTAAAAAGGCAACACATAATATTGCTTCACTGTACGATAACACGCTGTTTTCTTTCGAGTACAGGGGGTTATCTAACCAAACTACATATTATGAACAAAAAAAAATTCCAAATGAGTGCGAGTGAAAAAACACACATTCTGCGGTACATTTCTTGCAAATGCAAGAAAGGTTATCAACGCAATTGTGAATGCAGGAGGATAGGAGGACTCTAAACAACATTATAAATTTAAATGCTTTGTGAATGTAGTATTATAAGAGTATCATTTTTCATTTTTTTTTTGTTGCAACTAATGTTTTTCATAAAGGATATTTAAAATCTCCGGTCTTTTCAGTGAAAAAATCGGTTTTGAAGCGATAGCTCAAAATACGCTAATTTTAAACTAGCGCTGGAGCCTCATCGAAATTTTGTCCACTTTTATTTTGAATAGAAGTATTATTTCTGAAAAAAATATATTTTTGCAATAATACTAATAATTACTTATAAGCAATAAAACGCTAAATTTGCATTTTTTTCAATATCTCGTTACGAAATTTTGTTAGCAAACATCAGATTCAGATCCAGATTTTTAAGAAAACTAAACTTAGAAAAAATACGATGACGTTGATATAATACAAAGAGCTTAGTATTATAGCAAATACATATTTAGGCAGAAAAGAAAGTTAACAAATTGAACATTTCGAAACATATGTATAAGCATATTACTACTTAGGTATAAGTTGTAATGCTTTCACTAATTTCTTACACTTTTCTTATTGCAATTGTTCTTTTAAGCAAATCTATCTTCAAATTCATTACCATCCTCTCTATATATTTGTAACTAGCGTGTACCCGCGACTTCGTTCGCATCGAATTAAACATTTGTAACGGTGATGATAAAGCAAAGCAAGAATTTCCATAAACATATAAACTGGATAAAATTTTCTCAAATTTATGTCAGCATGAGAAAAAACAATATGGCGATATTATTATATAACTTGGTAATATTAATTTGAGGGGTAGTTTCATCTCGTTGGAATTTGAGTTTCGAAAGACCCGTTTGTCAAAAATAAGCTTTTTACGTCAAGCAGTTTAAGCAGAATCGTGGTTAATCAATTACCCAACTTTTTGGAACACCCTGTATGATTTTTTAAAAAATTTCAAAATTTGTAAAAAAACAAAATAAATAATTCGTTTTCGAGCATTTTCCCGAAAGACTAACCGTTTTTTAAATAACAAATATTGTAATATTTGAGGGGCGTTTTCACCCTCGATTCGAGATTCGAGAAATCCCTCCTTATCGAACCTCTACACCCCACAGTCAATCTGTTTGCCAAAAATCAGCTGCAAACGTCAAGCAGTTTAAGCAATCGTGATTACTCAATGGTCATATTTTATGAAACACCCTGTATAATTTTTTAAAAAATCTTAAAATATGTAAAACAACAAAATAAAATATACGTGTTTAAGAGTTTTTCTTTTCGTTTTTTAAAAAAATATTCTAATATTTGAGGGGTGGTTTTACCCCCTTAGAATTCGCGTTTCGAAAAATCCTTTCTTATTGAACCTCTACATCCTAAAGTCGATCCGTTTTCCAAAAATCAGCTTTTTACGTCAAGCGCAAATTTCTAATTTCATTTTCTTATTGGGTATATATTGCAAATTATTATAAAACTATAAATATTTGAACATTTGAGGCGTCAAGTTGCAAAACCCGTCTTATCCCACAAAGGTTGTTACGATAATAAGCAAAATCTGTTTTAGCAAATGTTTGAAGCATTAATTTACAAAAAACGTGTCCATTGAGTGGAATCATTGTTTGTGTCTCGTTTTTCTAAAAATAAAAATTAATATTTAATTTTTAAACAGAAAAAACACAAAAATAATTCGGATAAGGCGGGTTTTGTTGCAGTATGGTGCATATTGGCTATGAAATGAAGAACGCTGTCGTTTTATATATAATTTTTTATGGGAAATGTCATTGATCGTCATTTCCTAGCCAACTGGACGCTGTTTTTTTATCATACGGTATTTGCATCCTAACTTGATGTATTAAATATACTTACTTATTACTTATGAAAAAATGCGGGATTTGTAACAATAATGGCAATAAAAAGCAAATATAAGTGGATAAGACGGATTTTGCTGCAGTAACGTAATTTGTAGTGAATTTTATACAGGCCGACTTTTACTGCAGTTTGGGATTATGTTTATGAATATTTCTGAGTCCCACTATTAAAATATGTCATTAGACCATTTTTTTTACCGGACAAGGCGGGTTTTGCAACTTGATGCCTATCATTTATATACGAATTTCAAACACAGCAAATATTTGTAATATTAGATATTAAAAGACTTATGTTGTATAACAAGAGTAAATTAATTAAATTAAAAGTGAGAAATGACCCTGATTAATAATTTAAGACTCACTTGGACTAGATTTTGAAGGAAACCCCAAAAATTTGCTAACTGTTGACAGTGTTGACATACATTTATAAAAAAATGGCATTGAAATTGAAATAAAACCAAATTTGACCTTTAACGTGTCATTTTATTTTTCTGTATAAAAAATAGTAAATTCTAAATCTTACCAATGGAAATTAATCTAAATGTATTCTTTACTTTTCATGTGTATTACTGAAATCAGTCTCGCGTTTTATTTATTCAGTTAATTTTGATTAACTTATAAACAACTCGTTAACAGAATATCTGGCAAAAACTCTGTTAATGATGGTGAATACGAAATCACTGACAACTCCCTGAATTACTGGTTGTAATTCCTGGATGATTCCATCAATATTGTCATTAATGGCTCTGTTTGTTTGTTCATTGAGTTGGGCATTATCGCCAAAGAGGCGGTCAAATGACAGATGGGACTTTTCAATACCGATGTCGATCTTTTCTTTTTCCCATCTAATATATTCCTTGTTGTTTTTCTTGAATGGAGTACCTTTTAAGCTCAGACTGGCACGGACATTTGCTGAAATAAAAATGAAGTTATAGTTAATCTATTTTGACTTATCATATGCATTTGTCACAGCAATCTTATACCTATTTAGTAGTAAAAAGCAAAAAAAAACACTAATTCAACACAATACACAAAAACATTACTTTTAACACTAAGACCTAATCTATGCGTTTCCCTAACACCTAATACATGCGCTTCACTAACCATGCATCATCAGCAGTCATCTTAATTAAAACTTAATCTTGATTAAAACTATTTCAGTTTTAAGCATCTGCTGATGATGTTATCATGGTTAAAGAAACGTTTGTGCAGTGTTAAAAGTAAAGTGTTTTGGGGTGTATTGTGGTGAATTAGTGTTTTATTTTGCTATTATAACACCAAAAGTTCCAGCCCCCAACCATTTTATTTAACTATTTCAAATACATGGTCCGGCAATAGTGCGTCGGGCATCTGTAGTTCATAAAAGAAAAAACTTAGTAATGTTGTTTAAGTGCAAACCTAAAGTATGTATTAGGATGTATCTCAGGAAAAAAAGTATTATTTTTTAACCCTGTGTATTATATGCCTAAAGATTTTCTTGGTATGTTCCGTTCCGAGACTGCTGTTCCCGTATTGTAACGTCATGCCTCTAATCTATTCACAGAGCCATGTACTCACGAATGACGTGCCTGTTTTAGCGAGGTAGTCAACATGTTCGTTTCCCTCTAGGCTGACATGTCCTGGTATCAAGATTGACTACACGCTGTTCCTATCTCCTAGTAAATTGAGTAATTTCTTACAGTGGAGAATCGTCATGGATATGCATTTCGTCGTTTTAAGCGCTTTCAGCACAGCTTGACTATCCGGAAATATGTATATTGTTTTCCCGGTGTTTTGTCACTCTACCAGCAGATGGACACAAGTTTCAATAGCATATAACTCAGCTTAAAAAATTGTGGTGTATTTCCCAGGTCTATAAATTTTATCCAAGGCTAGATCTTAGTTTTTGTTCTGCTGCAATAAATTCCAACGCTGCGCGCTGTTTCCTTTTTCATTATTAAATCTGAATGTACCATCACCTTTCCGCAACTGTTTCTCGGTTTATCACATTCGCTCCTTTTTGAAAACAGGATGTTATAAGTGTGCATCAAGAGTTTGAACGGTTGCATGAAATTTGAGACCATTCCAAAAATCTCATCCGCCTGTAGCCCATCTCGCCTCTCTTTCCAAAAGAGTTTGAAGTGGAGGTAAGTCGAGTAGGGTTTCCATAACTTTTGAGGTGTAGAATAAAAAACACCAGTCACCGTTAAACATGATATAATTTCGGGAAGTTATTCTTTTAAGTTGTTTGGTTGCCTTTTTATCACGTATAACCAGTGCATATTTTTAGAGTTGGGTTGGGTGCCCAATTTCTGCCGTAAATTCGGAGACACGTCCATAGAGCATTGCACGCCTATTTTGTAGTTTTTTTTCCAAATGGACATCCATTTGGTTAGTCCAGTTATGTTTTTATATTTTTTTATGTTTTTATCCAGGGTTTTAATCTTAGATACTTAGCTTCCTCCGCAAACATAATAGTCTCACCAAGAAGGGTAGGCGGTTTCAGTTGTCTTCTTTTTCTACAGGTTTTCTATGGGTTTACACTAAGATGTTCCAGTGTGCATCAACAGTGGATTGCATCTAGGACTTCCTGTATTTGTAAGGAATGTCCCCCTCTTCACTAATTCTTGCTCTAAAAATCTTTAATAGGATAATGTCTTAATCTTTAACGATAATGTTCTTAGGCCTTTTCAATAAGGCTGGAAACACTTCGTCCTCACCTGGAAACTAAATAGATCGCAATTTTCGAGTAGGTGGCCCATATAACTAAAAACATAAATAGCTTTAACGATCCAAACTTTCAGCAGATATACAGGGACTACAGAATTAAATTGAATTATTTAATAATAAAACAGAAACAATCTTACTACTTTGAGAAGATAATGAGGGAGAGAAGTGATATAAAATCAATTTGGAATGCTCTAAAAAGACTAGCGGAAGTAACCAGATAAGAAATGACAATATACATTGCATCAAAAAACCTAACTGTACATGGTGTCCCAAATTAGATTCGTCCCTCGTCATTTGGATCTAGGAAAATGGAAGAGACACATGTGATCATAAAATCCCATCTTAAAAGTTTAAAAATTCCAAATACTTTCTTTCGAAACAAATCCAGAACATGGAAGTCCAATGGAAGATGCAAAAAATGCAAAATCTTGGGTTGAAAATATGGAGTGGATGTTGTAGATAAGATATTATGTGCACTCATTATGATGATGTGTCTAGTAATAGCGGGTATTGCCCACTCTTTAGTACTAGTTAATTTAAAGAAATTTAGTTTATTTATATGCAATAATCGGTTTCCAAAAACCTACACTAGATTTCTTTCTGAAAAAAGGTCACTGGGGGATTAGTTTGGGAACGGGTTATAAAAAGAATATGTTTACAAAATATAAAAAATAGATATTCATTCTTTTTAACATGGTGAGGAAACATGAAAATCTACCAAAGTACAGGTTATGTTACCACTTTTCCTCTCGCGTCTCATGTGTCATGGCCTTCAATTTTTACTCTCATCGGGCGTAAAGAAGTTTCACTTCAAAAAGAAAACATCTGTTGTAAAAGAAAATATCATAATTTTTTAAATCTACCAAAGATCAAAGTACACGATACATGATCGTAAAACATTACATTTTCAAAGAAAGTCCAAAATTGGCAAAGCAAAATGTTATTTATGTGTGGCAGGAAAGACCCAGTTAGCTGCCCCAAGTGGACTAAGTGGATATGAAAAATCCATCAACAGTGGTCCTAGCAAATAAAGCCAAAATTAAACCTTAATTTAAAAATGATAGATATTCTAACTAAATACTATATTAATTAGTGACAACTATTCGGATACTATAAATAAATAGATAGTAACGTAATAAAATACACTGTTTATATAGAGTTGGGTATAAGGTAAATTTTATAAGAACTTACTATAGTTTCCATCTGCTGGCCCTTGCCCGTTCAATTGTAAGATTAATAATCTGCCATTAATATTGTAATTCGATTTTATCCTTAGAAGAGGGAATGTCAGTTTCGCATCAACATGGTGGTGATCCAAATCAAAATTGAAAGTGTCTACTTTGAAGTTTTCAGCATGGTACATCTAAAACAAGACATTAGCCATATTAGCAAGAAGATATTAACATTAAGACAAATTAATTTAGTATAATAATAACAAATTATTGAATCTACCCTAAATTGCCAGTTGTACGGGGTGTTTCAAAAAACATGTGCCATCTCTCGTGGGGAGATTCCTCACGCAAAAATAAGATTTATTTTTCATATCAACATAGGTTTGATTCTGCTTTGTTTCGTATATACAGGGTGTTAAAATGTCAATATTTGTTCGATTTATTACAATTTTCTTCTAAGTACTTTTAGCGTTTCGAATGAAATTTTGAGGGTAAAAGTTACTATAAATGCGACATATTTTAAAGCTAAAAAAGTGACGACATATTCACCAGGGATGTGCATATGGGTTACCACTGGAATATTTTTCTAAAAAAACATGTACGCCACTGACTTTTTCTCTCTTGTTAGTGATATAGTGTAAGCAGTTTAATGTCGATTAAAAGTTGTTTCTTGATATTTTGTCGTTTTCGGCCTCCTTGATGAGATAAAAGCAATTTTATTAATTTGCCTTGATCCAAGCCTAATAGCAACTTCTAAAAAATTAATATCATTAGCTTGCAAAAGTTTTAAATAAGTACTCATTGATTCCTCATCAAAAAATATGAAAAAAAGTTCCTATAAACATGGGTCTGGAAATATATGTATTATAGTTTATACAGGATGTTAAAACTTTCTAAAATTAGGTTTTTTGTAATTATCTTAAATACCTACCATTATTTTTATTTGAAATTGTTGTAGGTTTGACTAATAGTAATAATAACTAATAGTAATAATATTTAATAATAAATTTGGTAAAATATTTATTAATTTTATTAATAGCGATTAGTAAAATTGCGTTTATCTCGTCAAGGAGATCGAAATCGACATAATATCAAGATACAACTTTTAATTGGCATTAAACAGCCTAGACAATTTTGATATAAAAAAATCAGTGGCGCACATGTTTTTTTTAAACAATTCCAGTGATAACCCATATGCACGTCCCTGATGAATTTATTGACACTTTTTTAGCATTAACATATGTAACATTTACAGTAACTTTTACCCCCAAAATTTCATTCGAATCACTAAGAGTGTTTGGAAGAAAATTATAATAAATCGAAATATTATTATAACCTTAACACCCGGTAGTTACGAAAGAAAGCAGAATCGGACCTAAAAAAAATCTTATTTTTACGTGAGAAATCTCCCCACGAGAGATGGCACATGTTTTTTGAAACATCCTGTATGAGCCAGAAGTATAAAAAAAGACTGGAAAAAAAACTTTCAATTAATATATTTACAATTGATTTGAAATTTTGGGGATTTTTTGTCCTTTTCTTAGCTTATTTTATTTTGTTTATTATTCATTCTACAATTGCTTTTGTTCAGAAGTAGTAAATCTAAACGGATATTGTGTCAGAACTGAGTGACATTATTGCCGAATTCCAAAAATCCAAAAATAGACTGTGAAGTATAATTGTGCAGCGTGCGATAAATCTCGGTTAAAAATCAAGAGAAATAAGGGACTAACTTTTCACTAGAAAGTAACTATACAGGGTGAGTCTTAAATAAGTGCAAATATTTTCAGGGTTGGTAGATCTCAATAAAAGATATATATTTACTCTTTACCGTTTTTCAAATAAGTCCAAAAAAGTTATTTTACTTTGAAAATTTTCAAAAAAAATTATTTTTTACTTAAATTTTGAGAACCACTGGATCTTTTCTGTTTTTTTTTTCTTGTAAATGTAATCTACTACTTATGTTGTCATATTATCAAGAAATTATGCTTTTTAACTAAAAAATAAAAAAAAATAAAAAATGTTTTCCAAATTTTCCAAAAAAAATTTTTCGCGAAAAAAAACCTCATAATCATTGTTTCTGGGGTCGAAATATATTACCATTAAAATATTTGCACTTATTTAAGACTCACCCTGTATAATAATATAGCACACGTGTAGTGTAGTAAACCAATTAATTATGAAATTCACTGGCATTAATTAATTTTATATTTTTTCTCGCAATTTTTCTTTTATTTGAAAGGATACGCAATTCACTTATTTTGGTTATTAAATAATTATTATCGCTTATATCTATTCTTGTGAGAAATATATTTTTATCAATTTTAATAACTAATAAACTAACAAAGTATTGTGTCTACCTTAGATTACATTTTTACACGTTTGTTTTATATAAAATTAGAACGGCACTGACTGATAAAACAACCATGCTAATCCCTCATGGCGCTTCACCCAGATTTGTTCATAAATATTCTCCTTTCTTAATATTTTTATTCAAAGGGTTTACTAAATCTGACCAGTACTAAAAGATGACAACCACGGAATGTAACTGACGTATTCGTTTACGCTCATTCACCTTATTTAGATATCAGAAGAGCTAATATGGAACAGTGGTTCTGGTAATTCAAATATACAAACTACTCTGACAAGTTATTCTACCTTATTAAGATAACGACGAAAGAAAACAAACATGCCATAGTCTTTTTTGGAACACTTCTAAATAACATTTCTTTAAGAAACTACTATTTATATATCATACTATTTTTTATTTATTTATGCGTGTCAAAAGCGTTGCGTGTAAAAATGAATATATAAAAATAGCAGAGGATAAAAATGTATAGACAAATAGAAGAAAAATGTAAAGGTAAAATTTATGACAGTTACAGACATAAAATTGTAAAAAAAATAAAAGATATAAATATAGTACAAACACTAAATATTATCAAACCTAAAGTTAGCAACATTGATGGTTTTTGCTGCGACACTGAGGGCAGTTAAGTATAAATGTAATGGTGGTTTGTTCAATACAACAATCGCAATGTTGAAGAAAATATTGTAAAACGGAACAATAAAATTAATAACAAATATGCTAATAGATATCAATATAATAAATTTATAGAACATTCACACAAACAACTTTAAGAATAACTAGAGATTAACAGCTACCTCCATCTTCTTACATTGACGTCACTATTTTTCCATATAAAATGTGATTAATTACATGAACGTCAACAATAAACATAAAAAAATATTATTATTTATATGCAGCTACTTGTTATTTTGGAAATATGACGCAGAAAAATTCTTCGTAAATACATAAAAAAATCGTTAAGTTAAATGGTACATGATCTTTGATCATGTTGTACTGTGAACTTCGGAGAGTTTTAACCAAGGTTTTACACATTCAAGAGATAGCTATCCTTTAAAAACATATAGATTTTACAATATATTGATGATAAAAAATCTAGTTTAAAAGAAAATTCTACATCATACAAGAGTTAAAAAATAAAGTATAAATTATAACTCAAAAATACTCCTTAAAAAGACTATATGGTTGGATACTGGAGCAAAAGTAAAAAGAAGTAATACGAAAAAGCAAGAAGTTTTTGTTGGGTAGGCAATTCTGTTTATTAGTAAAAATCCATTGACAAGTTGGTTTCCATTTTAGGTATTTTGCGTATATATTCTGTGTTAAAAGGAGTGGATAGTTTTTTTTATCAAATTTTGAGCCCCTATATTGATAAAACAAACTAGTATAACTTCTATTTCTTCCTCTTCTTCTTTTTGCAATAGGGTTATCCCTGTATATAACAACAATTTAAGCCTCTTGTGAACCGGATATCTAACTTTCGTACCATCGTTTTGGTGGCCTACCAGGGGGTCTGGGTGGTCTGGGTGGTTCGCACCCATTTTGCTATTCTGTCGTGGTCCATTCTTTCAACATGGTTACCCAATGACGTCTTCTTGATCTTCCCCATCTCACTATGTCTTGCACTCCCAGTTCCTCTCTGATGTCGTGGTTTCGCATTCTATCTCTTAGAGTGACTCCGCGTATTGTTCAATACTTTCATCTTGTTCTATTGTTCTGAGTATTGTATTTGTTTTTGATGTTTCGGCTGAAGTCTCTCTAGCATAGGTAAGAACTAAACAACACAAGTCTTATATATGCGAACTTTACTTTCTCTTGACATAACTTTATTCTCCATATGGCATCTCAGTAGCCAGATATTCATGCTAGTTTGTTCGCTTGGAAACCAAACCTTGCTTCGTCTGAGAGATTTCTGTTGCCAGATTTATTCACGCCTAAGTAATTAAATTGGACACTTGGTTATTTGTTTGGTTGTTAACTACGAGTTTGCATCTGATTGGTTCTTTCGCTGTAACCACGGATTGCGTTTTTTCCACGGATATCTGCATATTGAGATTTTCAGCTTTATTTGATAGTCGGTACAGGAGCCGCTGTAGGCTATCCTCGTTCTCTGCCATTAGTACTGCATTGTCTGCATAACATACAATTTCGACGGATTTCTGGTCCATTCTGTATCCAGTGTCCAAGAGCTTCACATCTTTGATCATCTGATCCATAATGATATTAAAGAGAATAGGACTGAGGCTGTCCCCTTGCCTCATGCCGACAGAGACTGGTACATTTTCAGAAAGGCCGTCTTTGTTTTAATTTTGTGCTTAGTATAACTTAAAAAAAATAATAATTTTTAGTAGTGTTTAGTATAACTTGAAAAATAATAATTTTATTATCCTTATATCTATATATCGTGTTAAATTTTTAAGCCAATCTAACTCTATTTCCATTAAAAATACGATATTTTTTAACTGTCAACTGGGGATACGTATATGTGCACATTAGTGATGTAAAGAATATCAATTTTTCCACATTTGCGAATGCAAAGCAAATAGCTGATGCCATTATAGCGAATCCGAATGCGAATCCGTTAATATGTTGTTGAAAATTATTATATAACAACAGATAGCAGATGTTATAATTAAAGAAATTAATTTTTTTAGTGTAAATTATTTTGTAAAAGAAGTTTAATAGCGGAACATTATTGTTGGTTATTAGTATTTTTAGTTATAAAAGATGATTTAAGTTTAAAATCAAAGTAGATTGATACAATGATTGTAAAAAAAATTAAAAGAAGAATACGCTATATAATATACCATATCGGCCATCGACATTCTTGGGTCGGTATCTACATGTATCTGCGTGCATCGCTATGCGATCTTGTAAGTCAGAGAGAAGAATATGCAAAGTGTTTATTACATATCTACTTAATCGAAACCGACGAGAAATTTAGACAAAAATCTCTGGAGGAATTTTTTCAAAATTGATTTTAAAATATTTAATGCATTATTGGTTTATATACCGAAACCCAGAAAAAAATCAATCCGAACTTTAATACCTAGATAATTTAAAGTAGGTGTAGATCATCAGAATAAATAATTGATATATTATAGATTTATTTTTAGTATAATTTTACCGTTAGTCATTCAGATCTATAATTAATATGTAAATTTGTTTAAGCAATATCTAGAATCATCTCATAATATTATATAAGAGATATAAGACATAAATTATTATAATCACAATACGCTTGCCGTTCGCAGAAAATGGACTTTGTATGGACTCTTGGAATCGCAAGAATGATATTTTTTGACTTTGGATTTTAAAAAGCAAATGATTCAGCACAAATAATTCGAAATATGAAAATTTCGCCACATAATGAAATGGATTATAATTATTTGCTATAAATCTAATTTCTATTTTTCTATAATACAAATTTCATTCGAATCGCTAAAAACACTTGGAACAAAATTATATTAAATCGAAAATAGATGAAGACTGACCAGATGAAACAAAGATAGAATAATACAAAGACAAACGAAACAATGCAGAATCGGACCTATGTAAAGGTATCTTGGAAACCGTAATAGCACAGTTTAAAGATATATTCTTAAACTGTGGTAATAGATTTTCTTTCCATAAGAAGGAGCCGTCCTCTGCTGGAAATACTGCGACCTGTGAGGCCTATTGTGTTTGTCCCCTTGCTATATCTGCACCCACTCTCCTATCCCTGTAGCCTGCACTAACTTATGCAGGTCCTTGATAGGATAGGAGCATAGTTCCTCCGGTTCTAGCCTAGCTTTCCCAAATAAGAGGGTCGCTTGCGATCCAGAACATCACAGTGACATATTATGTGCATATATTATTATTATAAAGACTTCCTTGATACAGGTTGAGCTTGTTCAGGTAACACTTGACAACCATGTGTCCTGTCAAGAGGCCTGTTGTAATCCGCACTTTATTTCTACTAAGCGTTAGCAGTTCTTTTGTGGTTTTAGAGCTAGGTCCTTGGATGATAATAGATAAGTTGGATGGTAATAGATACGAAGATGGTTAAATTGAGGCAAAGTTGCGTTGGGTATTTGTTGAGTGCCACCCTATATAACCTTATAGTACAAAATACATATTTGTAATATTTATTACATACCTCAATATTTCTAAACGTTGCTTTAAATTGATCACCACTGTTCAGCGTTGCTTCCGGGATAATCAGGGGATCCATTGAAGGAATGAAGAGTTCTGGAATGCCCTTTTTCAGATGAGGACGAAGTAACTCGACATTTTCAGCAACACATGTACGTAAGTTGCCACTTCTTCTTTTGCACAATTTCAAGTATGATGCTAAACATAAAAATTCATGATATAAAATATTTATAATTATTTCAGTGTGTGTATATACATTAGATAATAGCTTATAATCAAAAAGTTTTATCAAACAGGCTTTGACGTTGACAATCAAAATTATTTTAATATAACTTTTTAGATTTGTTTATCTATTATATTCCAAAGCTTGATCATAAAACAAATTGGTCATATGGGATATCAAATAATGAACTATATCTCAATAAGTTCTCATCACCAGAGTAGCGAATGCGAAAATAGTTTTTACTAGTGATAGGAAAAACCGATTAATTTCAATAATCGAGTACTCGAGTTTCAATTGATTTCAATAATCAAACGATCGCTTGAGCGAAATTTCGCTCGTATTTAAAAATACGGTTTTTCGCTCGTCGCCGTCGCTTGTAATGCAACTTCCTGCTTAATTATTGTCAAATTTTCGTTACATTTATGGCCATGACACTCAGGGGCGCCGACTTTTATGAAACCTCGTGGGTGCTCATCAAATATCAGTAAATGTACCAAATTTCCAGATTGTTACATTTGTCGTATTTATTACACTTTTTTACATATGTAATATACATAACAATATTAGAAAAATATCATATCAATTTGTCATTTTTACAATTTTATTGAGTATAATTTGAGTTATGCAGAATAATTTTTTCAGTACAGATACCGGTTTGTGAAAATATTAATTCTACCCATTACAATCGTGCAAGGGCAGGCATTAAAACAGCAGACAGATATTGTAGCTGTATTTTATAAAGAGATACAAAATAAACGAAACTAAAAGTTGCTGAGAAGAGCTGCTAGTGGAGGGATCTCCGAGAATGGGAGGGGGACAGCTTAGGGTTTTTATATAAACAAATCTATATGTCAAGACTGAAAATTCTCAAAGATCATACACAACCAGCTTTCGCATCACATAGCACAGTTCGTATACATGGCCAGCTAAATAGATTGACAGTGAGCTATCGTGGATATGAACACACATTCCTAATGTAGTTTACAATTCGCTTCCAATTTAGAATAAATATAATTAATATACAGGGAGAGTCTTAAATAAGTACAAATATTTTCAGGGCTGGTAGATCTCGATAAAAGAAACACTTGTTTTCTCTTTATCGTTTTTCAAATAACCCCAAAATAAACCGAGTTATTTTACTTACTAAAAATAAAAAAATATGTATTTTATGCCCATATTTTGAGAACCACTGTTTTTTTTCTGGGTTTTCTTTTTTGTAAACATAATCTACTACCGATGTTGCCATAATATTAAGATATTATATTTTTTAATTAATTTAAAAAATCCATTTTTTTTGAAAAACACCAAATTTAAAAAAGAATCGCGAAAGAAACCTTATAGACGTGTTTCTGAGGTCGAAATATACCACCCCTAAAATATTTGTACTAATTTAAGAACATTTTTAGAGCCCCCACAAACGCACAGTTAATTATTTTTATTTTTATTATTAAACACAGGCAGACTGTGCAGCCCAGTCTGCCCAGTTTAACCTGTATTACAGCCTGTCGCACACACACGCAATTTTATAGTACAGTTTTATCTATAATGAACTGAGTTACGGAATCACTTCGGCACATTTTTTTTTCTCAGTAAAAATGGCCTCCCGAAATACACATCTGTCTCGGATTTTATTCGCTTATGCAATAAGTAAAAAAGCAGCAAAACTACGGTTACTTAAAGGAAATAAGTACTGCCATGTTAATTTGCTTGCTGATTTAACAGTTGAAAAACAGGATTGATTTAACTACCTAAGAATGAACGAGGAAACTTCCTTAGAACTACTGAAATTGATGTCTGGAATTGGAAATTGGGCTGGATGAGATGCGAGTGTCTTAAAGTTGCTAAACTGGTTAGTTTTGATGCTTATACGCCCGTGGGTGCTCCGCACCCACTAATTTTCTCTCGTGGGTGCTTGAGCACCCGAGTACCCACGTAGTCGGCGCCCCTGATGGCACTCCAAATTAAAATTTAAAATGCTTTTTTTAATTGTAAATGTCAAAAGTTGACATATTATGCTATGCCATTCTATTCAGAATGTCATTTTCTATCAAATGAACAACATTTTAACATTTTCAATTAAAATATAGCATTTTAAATTTTAGTTTAGAGTACCATGGCCATAAATGTAACGACAATTTGACTCGAAATACAAAGTGTGTGGTACCAAATTATTCGTAAAACAAATATTTTTCCAAATATGCTAACGAGCCACACTCCTTCCATTTTAAAAAATTGAGATATGATTAAAAATACGATTTGGGTATCTTTTAATTGGCCAGGACAAGACATTAGACGATCAAATTTTTTTTCCAATGCTCCCCTGATTAATAATTAGTATTTTTAACACAGCCTTTTTTAAGCGAATATGTCAAAAGTTGACACATGCTATGTCATTCTATTCAGAGTGTCATTTTCTATAGATTAAAGCAAAAAAATACCGAAAGTGCCATTTTAAAATCAAAAGTTGTAGTCATTTCCTGAAACAGGAAGTGACCGAAAATAATTGAATGCATCAATCAATCCTCATTTATGTCAAATACTACCAAACCAAATCTCCTTTTTTTTTATATGATGAAAAAAACAAAAAAATTACTAAAATTACAAAAATTATAGGGGTGAGCCACTTTTGAGACGCAGACCACTTTTGCATACCGGGTATACAGGGTGAGTCTTTCATAAGTGCAAATATTTTTAGGCCTAGAATATTTCGACCACAGAAACAAACCTATGATGTATTTTTTGCGAAAAAGTCCAAAAAGAAAACCCAGAAAAAATTCAGCAGTTAAATTTTCAAAATTTAAGCGAAATATATATATATATATATATATATATATATATATATATATATATATATATATATATATATATATATATATATATATATATATATATATATATATATATATATATATATTTTGTAATTTTGGACTTATTTTAAAACGGCAAAGAGAAAATATGTTTCCTTTATCGAGATCTACCAGCCCTGAAAATATTTGCACCAACCCAAACCAAAACCAAAATAATAATTTTTAAAGTTTTTAATGTATATTTTTATATTTATATCTACTATATCAATGTAAATGGTTAAATAATGAAATAAATAATAAAAGTTTCTAAATGGGCATTTCAATATAAAAAAGAAAAAGCAAAGTAAAAAAATGCATAATCATACTACAAAAAAAAAACATGCCTCCCATGAACCTAATAAAAAGTAAATTATTTAATTAATTCATTACTAGGTATCGTAAAATTATTAACATGTAATTAAATTGTCACAATATTAATTTAATTATAGCCATCTAGAATATAATTTACTCGTTATTTAGTGAAATTATATTAAAATGGAGATTCAACATATTTTATAAAATAAAATAAGTATGTTAGATATGGGAAGCCCAGATTAATATCAAAATATATCAGAATATTATATAATACCACTTAGTGACGTTAAAAGAGAAGATGAAAACGACCATCCAACAATGTAATGGAATATTACCGAAAAGAAAAGGAATTGCGGCAAAAACATTGCTAAAAAGTTAAAAAATATATATATTTTTTTTAGTATTTTGATATTAGTCTCAAATGTATAATTTGAAAATGTCGGTATAAACAAAAAACCTTATAGATTAGAAAATTTTACTACGATGCGGTTCGTCAATGATTAGATGCGTTGATTTGATGCGATGGTTTGTGCGATTCGGCGGAATGACGGTTTTTGGATCCACAATACCAACAAATTCAAACAACAATCAACAAATCCACTAGCAATCCAAACGAAGTAACGAATCGCATTGACGAACCGCATGATACCCAGTATGCGTGCATGGACGCATGGACGAATCAAATCCACATATCAGCGCATAGTGAGCACAAAAATAAGAAATACGTCGTGAGTTTGGGCGTTACGTAAACTTAAATAATTCTGTCAAAATAACTTAAACAGAATACAAAAAAGTACATAAGTGCATTTTCCAGTCAGATATAATTACTATCGAACTTAATTTATCTTCAAATTAGGCTTCATTAGCAACCGAAAAATTAGTAGAATAAATTAGTGGTTGCAATAATTAAGCTTCATTCAGAACATCACAATTAGTGGAACAAATTAGTGGTTTCAATTACACTTTATACTTTTAAGGCTTCATTCAGAACCTCGCAATTAGTGGAATAAATTAGTGGTGTCAATTAACGTAGAAGTTTGTTCATTTAATTGTAATGTAAAGGACGGTCCACACTTGCTATATAACACTGCTATATAGCAAAGTTATATAACATGTCACATATTTTTAGTGATATTTAGCAAATTTCGCTGCTATATAACTTGCTAGATGTTATCCATTTGTAGTCGGTAGAGATCAAAAGATGTTGTGCAACACTGCTATTGTAACATGAAACAATGCATCCAGACTTGCTAAATTTCTAGTTTAACCGCTCATATTTTCAGGGACGTGCGCGACAGAATCTTAGTGTGGTGAGCTGATATTGGTTTGTTTATTTACTGGTTAATAATATACCGTATGGTCAATAATGACGTCCGTATGATCGAAAAAAAAAACTGTGTCCAGTCGGCCTCTCGTCCAGTTGGGTTGGACATGACGATCGATGACATTTTCCATATAAAATGAGAGCAATCTTCATTTCATAGCCATCGCTGACGACATTTTTTTTTTTCGATCGTATGGTTCTTATTAATGGAGTAGAGCCAAGAGCAGACTTATCAACTAATTAAGTTGTATAGAGATCATACAGTGTTATGGGATATCCGTAGTCCCTCATTTAAAGTGAAAAAAAAAAGCATGATGCATGGTTAAAAATTGCAAAAAGTATGTACATATTTGGAAAGAGAAAAGTTGAGAAAAAAATGGGTTTTCTAATAGGCCAGTTCCAGAGGGATCAAAAGAGATGCAAATCAGGTACTGGTTTAGATAAAGTGGATAATAATTGTAAATGGTTTCCTTTTAAGTTATTAATGTTTTTAAAGACAGAAACACACCACCAGAAACAGCCGCGGCAGGTATTGAAAAGGTAAGCTAATTGAGTTCAACTATAGATAGATCTTGCTTGTAGGCTATGGCGGACTCAAAACCTTTTTTTTCTCGAGTTTCTTTCTCTTTCTTCAAAAAAAATTACGCACGCCGCTGCTGCGAGCTGAACCTCTTTCTTGCCAAAACGATTCATGTTTACATTAAACTATAATGTGGACGGCTCCCGGTATTTTAACATGTGATATGTAGCTTGTTAAATAGCAATGTTATATAACATGTTAATAAATGTAGACCCTCCTTAAGGCATTCAAAACGTCAATTATAGTGGTAGGAATTTTCAATTAGTAGGAAAAGTTAACAGACTTTTAACTTTCCCACTAATTATACTTTAAAATGTGCGACGAATGTTATTTTGACCTTTGATCATCATTCGTCAAGACAAAATTTGGTTACACATTAAAAGTTTATTGTTTTATAAGCTAAATATTAGGCTCGATATTAGGCTTTCTCTATGGATACAACCGACTACTGGAAGCTGTTGCTAGGATATTTTATTAATTTTAATTGGACCCACAAGGGCTCACCCCTATAACTTTTTTATTTTTCAGATAAAAAAACGAGATTTGGTATGATAGTATATATATAGTATATGACATAAATTAAGATTGATTGACGTACTCAATTGTTTTCTGTCAGTTTCGGTTTCACCGGAAATGACTACAACTTTTGATTTTTAAATGGCACCATCGGTATTTTTAGCCGACCATACCAACAGGTATGGTAGGCTATTAAGATCGGCAAAAAAAAAGTTTTTTTTAAATTCACTCAAAATGAGTTATTTGGGTCATAAATGACCTAAATACAAAATATTTTCATGGTGTCTGTCTGTCTGTCTGTCTGTCCGTTTGTCCGTCTGTAACACGATAACTCAAAAACCGCTAAACCGATTTTAACCAAATTTGGCCCCCCCAATTTTGACCCGAGAATCTGGCCATTAGTTTTTGGTGGGGGTGGGGGGTTAGTAAGGCGGTATGGAAGGGGGCTAAAAATTTTAAAAAATCGTAACTCCAAAATTACAATAGCTAGCGAAACGCGGTTTTCAATTTAAGATTAGGAATAATATTTGCAATACAATTTGTAATAACATCAAAATCACTCAAAGTCGCAGTTTTTGACATATTCCGTGTTTCCGTAGTCCGTTTTTGAGAAAATCCGTGTGGAGAACTCCAAACTCCAATCGGACGCGACCCCAGGTGGCGGATAGGGGAAATAACAGCGGACCAAAATTGGAAAAATTCCAATAGCTTACCAACTTTTTATTAACATATTTTAGTATGGTGGCTATACGTGCCTACGGGCGCCATTTTTTTTTACTTTATTTGATAGAAAATGAAACGCTGAATCGAATGACATATCATATGTCAACTTTTCACATATTCGCTCAAAACAAATTGTATTTTAAATTTCAATCTAGAACGCCATGGCTGTGTTTAAAACACTATTTTTTAATCAGGAGCCTTAGAAAAGTAGATTTGATCGTCTAGTATTTTTAGTGTCTTGTCCTGGCCGGTTAGAAAATGCCCAAATCGTATTTTTAAACATATCTCAATTTTTTCAAGTGGAACGAACGTGGCTCATTGGCATATTTGGAAAAAGGATTTCTTTGCGAATAATTTGATACCACACACTTAGTATTTCGAGTCAAATTGTCGTTATGAACCGCATGTTACAATTTCAAATAAACCATATGCAAAAATGTCAAAAGTTGACATATGATATGACATTCTATTCAGAGTGTCATTTTCTATCGAATAAAATAAAAAAAATATCGAGGGTGCCATTTAAGAATCAAAAATTGTAGTAATTTCCGGTAAAAAAAAGGGTGAAACGGTTAATCACGTGATTAACCTTGCAACTTTTAAATTCATTCTTGCCAACCATGGATATATTCGGCGCCGTGTTGACTAACTGGAATTTAAATTTCGCGCTGGGTATTCAACTGGTTGATTTGCTGTAAAAAATGTCAAGTTGCCGCATTTATTTATTTATTTCTTGACATTGTCATTTGACACTTGACATTGTCGTTTTGACACTTTAGTTTTGTATTACCAGCTTTTTTTAGTTTAAAAGAATTGTGTTGTGATACTTTAAGCTTGAGAATGTTTACTAGCAGACCTTGCAGTCGAACATTGTTCTTTTTAGAACCTGTTTTAGTGCGAAGTGGTACAAGATAGCTTAATAGCCGGAAAAAACTCATTGCAACTTTATTATAATATTTTGATCGGGTAGTAATGGCCCTTTATATCCCTTAAGTGCTGTTAAGGTGAGTTTATATATTTATAATTTATTTTTGTTTCCTAAAATATTTTGATTAAAAGAAAATATATAAAACTGGGCAACGCTGTGCCAGTCAAGCTTAATCACGTGACAAAAAGTTTATTTTGTATGAACTGTAGAAACGCTTTTTGATTTTTAGGAATTACGAGTAGAAAAAAATCCACTGTGTTTTCATATATTTGTTATTTTTCTCTAAAACGGTATAGAAATATAGAAAAGTATAAACATTTTAGAACAAGCAAAAACTTTTATTATGAAAAATGCATTTTTATCAAAATGTTAATAATAAAAAAAAATTAAAAAAGGACGTTTTTTAACATACTCTTATATTAAATTAACTTTTGTCGAAATAGTAGATAATGCAGCTTGAAATAAACAATAAACCTTATTAAGTTGACATTGACACCGAAATTATTATAAACAAGAACACTTACGTAAACCCTTGGACGACGCATTGTCTAAGACCAACAAAATAACTACCGTCCCGCTAATAAGTTTCCACATACTTGTGATGTCAAAATTTCGCGACAACCTCAAAACGTATCTCCCCTTAAACTGATCTTCGCTACCGACCCCCAGACCGTATTTATAGTCGTCCCCTATCCCGGCATTTCCCAAAATCGCGCGCTTCGACCACTAATTAACAGAAAATCACCGCGAAACGTCGCCGTTGGTCGATCTTCGAGAACGATGACATTAGCCGCCAGTTTCGAACGAGTTCGAATGTGCGCCATCGTCAGGGATAACGACTAGCATTCGGTCAAGGGAATTCACGGCGGCGACGACACACAAACTAATTGAAGTGGACATCTCGCTTGAATCAAATGGGACAGCAAAATTAATAAACGTACGAAAGTAACCTTAGAACGACCGAGTTCGCTAGTACAACAAATTGCGAAATGAGTCTATTAAAGAATACAATGTAAAGTTTTTTTTTTACACAGAATGAAGAAATAGTCATCTTATCTGATAGTTAAGCAGCATTAAAAGTGATCAACTCAGTATGAATCAATTCGAAGTTGGTCAAAGGAGGCATCTTCTTCTTCTTCTTAAAGTGCCTTCTCCATTCAGTGAAGATCGGCAACAACCATGGCAAATTCCTCTCTATTTTTCGCTCTTCTCAGCAAAGTATGCGAGTCCAGGCCTGTCCAATCTCTAATGTTCTTCAGCCAGGAGCATTGCCGTCGTCCGGGTCCGCGCTTTCCCTCAATTTTACCCTCGATGATGAGCTGAAGGAATTCATACTTGCTATGTCTCATGATATGGCCCAAATAGGCTGCTTTCCTCTTTTTTATTATGTCGAGGAGTTCTCGGTCCTTGTTCATTTGGTTTAGAACTCGTTCATTCGAGACACGGTCAGTCCATGGTATTCTCAGCATTCTGCGATATACCCACATCTCAAATGCTTCCAACTTATTCATTGCGCTTACTTTGAGTGTCCACGACTCAACCCCGTAGAGAAGTGTGGAAAGTACGTAGCACTTGACGAAGTTGTCTTTTATATGGATGTTGAGACGTTTATCGCACAGTAGGTTCCGCAATTTTAGGAAGTTTGATCTAGCCATCTCAATTCGAGCTCTGATCTCAATGTCTGGGTTTAGGTCTTCACTAATCCAACTGCCCAAATATCTAAACTTTGAGACTCTTGCTATTGGTGTCCCACCTACGACTACCTCCGTTGCCTGTCTTGCATCTCTATTTATCACCATGACTTTTGTTTTGTTTGTATTTATCCTGAGACCCATTGAGTCGCCCACCGAGGACAGTCTATCAAGAAGTCTTTGCAGGCCCTCAGTGGTGTCTGCAATAACGACGGTATCATCAGCATATCTCATGTTGTTAATCAGCCTGCCATTCACTTTTATGCCGTCTTCTGATCCCTCAAGCGCATTTCGAAATATTAGTTCGGAGTACATATTGAAGAGCATAGGGCTCAATACGCATCCTTGCCTAACTCCACGCTTGATAGGTATTGCTGTTGTTTCAGTGTCCTGTAGTTTTACTGTCGCTACTTGTTGTTCGTATAGCTTTTGGATAATTTTCAGGTCTTGGGTATCCAGGCCTCTTCTTTCAAGGATGCTCAGCAATTCCCTGTGGTTGACGCAGTCGAATGCCTTCGTGTAGTCTATGAAGCATAGGTGTACCTCCTTTCGTTGATCTCTGCACTTCTGCAAAAGCACCGATAGCACAAACAGGGCTTCTCTCGTCCCCAGTCCCTCGCGAAATCCCATTTGCTGTTCACTTATGTCTAGCTCACATTTTCTTCGGATTCGATTATGCAGAACCTTTAAAAACAGCTTTAGGACTTGACTCATCAGACTTATTAAACGAAACTCATCACATCTTTTTGCACCATTTTTTTTTAAGGAATAGGTATAAATGTCGACGTTAGCTAGTCCTGCGGTATGTTTCCGGTATTGTATACAGAATGGAAGAGGTTTACCAATAACTTTAAATTGTCTCCGTTTATTAGTTTTATCAATTCTGGGTAGATGTTGCCGGTCCAGCTGCTTTCCCCTTTTTGGTGTTCTTTAAAGCTCTCTCGATTTCTGAGATCATTATATCTGGACCATTTTCCGTTTCTATTTGGGAGTGAAAAGAGGGGCCACCGTCATCGAACAGTTCCCTTATGTAATTGGTCCATACCTCCTCTAGTTTTTGTTCGGTTAGGATTGGTTTATTCTCACCGTCCACGATTCTGGTACATGTTCGAGGTTTGTGTTTCCCAGTGACTTCTTTGACTTTTTTATGTAGGTTAAATAAGTCATGTTTTTGGTGGAGCTCCTCGACTTCGCGGCACCTCTCCGTCATCCACAGTTCTTTGGCTTCTTTGATTTTATTTCTGATAAGCCTGTGAGTGTCTCTATATCTCTGAGGGTCTGTGCCTTTAAAACTTCGCCACTTTTCCATGAGGTCTAAAATTTCTTGAGTCATCCACGCTTATGGTGCTTCTCGTTATTAGTTGTTGTTAGTTGTTCTTGTGTTTCCTGCAGCGCTTCTTTAATTTTCTTCCAGATGTTCTCTATGTTATTGTGGTCTTCCAGTCCAGGGGTTTGAGAGGCATTTGGCTGTTGGATCTTTCCTAGTTGCTCGTTGAGTTTGTTGGATACGTCTTGTCGTTGTGCCTCACTTCTCAGTAAACTAAAGTTTCTCAGTAAACTAAAGGAGGCATAGAGAAGCTAAACAAAGGCAAAGGAAACAAAGTCCTCCTGCTCTGGGTGCCAGCTCACCAAGGGATAGAAGGTAATGCGAAACCAAATGATCTAGTTAGAAAAGGAACGAACACTCTACTAACTGGACCAGAACCATTAGGCTTTCCAAACAAAAACCAAATAAAAGCGGAACTCAAGAACTTGGAACACTCCATCCGTAACCTGGAATGAAAATTCTGCAACGGTAGAAAAAATTCTTCTTAGTTAGAAACTTCTTCGAGTGTCTCAGACTCGAAGAAGTTTCTAAGAACTTACGACTAACAAAAATCAAAGACTTACCTTGATTTAAGTAAAAACAATCTTCGGATTGTCACGGGGTTTTTAACAAGACACTGTCTCCTAAATGAACACTTCAGTAGATTGAAACTAAGGAAAAACGGCGAATGCAGATTCTGTGGGGAAATGGGGAAACGCCTCATTACTGAGTGTGCAGAGACGATAATCATTCGTGCCATAATAGTGGAGTGCCAAAGACTTTTACCTCGGAATTCAATTACTGTAAATGTATTTTAACCTTCTGTATTGTGTTTTATAGATAAAATTCTAAAATGTTTGAGACCCAAACACCTATTTTTTTTTCGTTGCTTTTAATTTTTTATTTTAGTAAATTCTTAATTATTTCCTTCTTAATTTTTTGATTTTTTTAATTCTTTTTCTAAGTAAATTTATTGAAGTAAATAAATCTAATGCACAAGCTACACCTATTCTGCTTATATTCTAATCATTGACATTTTGATCGAAATCGAATTATACAAGGCGGCGCGACATATACGACGCGGTTTTTGCAAGGAGAACAAAAGTTTGCATTGAAGTGAAATTTAGTGAGCTTATGTAAGTTAATTTAAAGCATTTTCTAAAATTATGTAGAGTTCTACAGGTGTTCCCAAAAAAAGTTACACATCAAAGTTATGTTTTTTGTAATGGAACACCCTATATATTAATTGATTTTTGGATTCTAGTAAAAAATAAAGGTTTGTTTCATTAGAAAAGTATATGATTAAAATGTATAGTTTTTGAAATACATTTACCGGCACGAAAAATGGGCACCTTAAAAATTTGATGTATTTTAAAGGTTAATATATTTTGTTTTAATGGGCCGATTTTGATGATTTTTTAAGCAGTGTGTAGCCAAATTATTTGACTTTTTAGTATCTTTTTCTAAAGCTTAGGTTCCTTAGCGATAAACTTACAATAAGTCGATCGTCTCGATTAGAAGTTCTCATACGAAGGGTCCTGTGGACGTCTAGATTGACGGCCTCATGGTTGTGGTCATCATTCAAAAACCACTTAGTATACTCTATGGTATTAAGGTATTTTTGAACCGGAATTTTATAGCAAATTCACTGAACTAAACAAATATAGATATATATTTGACTCACCCTGTATATCTATAAAAATATTTTTGAAATGTGAACTACCATTAACAACATATTTTGTAAAAGGTTTGGACTAAAAATCTCAAATAGGAATCCTGATACAGAGCTTTTGCGGAATACGGAGCCATCTTGTATGTGTGCATTTGTTATGTATGTTTATTTAAATACTAAGTGAAAGCAACGAATTTAAATGGGTAAACTTTGTAATATATCTTATTAACAATACAATGCACAAAGTTTTATAAAAATTCGTTCACAGTAAATGAATTCCTAGGTTTGTATCCCATAAGGGCTTAAAACACTCCACTATAAACTTTGGTACTACTGATATTGGAAATGGGGAATTACACTCTATAAAACCGTCCCAGATACTGGTTTTTGTCAAAGCCCCTTCAACTCGTTCTACATTCTACACAGAATCATGATGCCAAAAGACCTCATATTATGTTCCAAAATTGACTAAAATTTTGACTTGTAACCCGGGGCGGTAGTAATGAGCAAGACTAATCTTGGTCTTGCATTTTTGCGAGACCAAGACCAACACCGACAGTGCAAGATTTACGCAATACCAAGACCAGGCATGCAAGACTCTTGCGGTCTTGAGTTTTTCTATGCATTTTTCGTTTACTCGTGTACTAAGCATTTTGGAACGATTACAGTTGAGGGTTGGAATCTTTGGTGTTACAACAGCAAAATAAAACTCTAATTTACCCAAAACAACCAAACCAAAACACTTTACTTTTACACTGGACGCGCGTTTCACTAACGATGTTAATATCATCAGCAGGGTTTTTATCATCTGCTGATGATACTAACACGGTTAGCGAAACGCGTCTAATGTAAAAGTAAAGTATTTTGGTGTATTGTGGTTAATTCGTGTTATATTTAGCTATTTTAGAACGACCAAATTTTTTAAATGATCAAAAGGTGTTTCCTTTTGTGTCCTTCCACTCTTATTACAACGTCCATTACCTTTGTTATTTGACGTATCCCTTCTTTACTACTATGATTTCTAGTTCTGAT